GGATAATCGAATAAAAATAGAGACTATTTCATTTAATAAATGTTTTGTTTTGATATATAAGTTGTTCGGGTTTTTTCATCTGAACAAAGGCGACATTAATTTATTGACGACCTAATACAAAACCAGCCTCTTTAGTGAATTTTTAAAGTATTGTTTGTTTCTTTGGTTTTAATTATGCACAAAGCTACACAAGGGCTATCTGTGCTCTGCCCACCACGGGTATCGAAACCCGGTTTTTAGTGTTGTAAGTCCGCAGACATACCGCTGTGCCACTGGGGGGCTTTGTAAAGTATTAGCTACTGGCTGTACAGATTTGAAACTTCTGATTCAAGAGAGTCTACGTATTAGATAAAATCTCCTTAGCTTTAAATAATAGCTCAAATTCTGTTGGGTTATATTTTTCATTTCTTTCTCTTTAACTATGTAGATACATTTACTTATTTATATAGTGTGGGTCTATATCCAAGTTCATTCAGTGGTTTTACAATCTCCGTATGTATATTAAAAACGTTCTTCAAATATTTTGTTATTCGTCACTTTCATGGTTGTATCATAATTTTTCCAATAATGTTTTACAAGAACTAAAACTTATTAATTTCAATTACATTGATTACAACAATTAACTAACCAGGTTACTCCTAGTTTCTGATAACTATTCTTTATGCGAACGAAAAAACATCTAAAATAAATTATTTATATAATTACTATATTTTTTGTTTAAGAACAACGTAAATTTCTTTCCTATGAATTTTTTTTTGTAAATAAAATACACATTTTAATTTACAAAAAAAGATAATCTGAGGGAGATAAAAATTATATATATGTATTTATATTTCAGACATAAAACAAACCACAGTACCTTTCTTCGAGAAGGTGGTGGTACAATAAAGTACGTTTTGACGTTTTGTTCCCTTAGATAAGAATTTCGATTGCCTCCATGACCCGGTATGACTTCATATTCGTTTTTAAGGAAATCAAGCGTTGCTTGGGTGATGTGAACCCGTCTGTGAACGAAAAAGTAGTCAGAAGTTTTGCCAAAGCGTTCAACTTCTGAAAAAAAACGCTATTTTACAGTTCGACATTTTAATTATATATTACTCCTCAAATATATGGATGGCTATTAAAGGAAAATATTACATAAATGGAATTAATTCTATTTTATCTGACTCCACCAAATTAGAAGTTCTTAGCACAGATGTTCTTAGCCTTACCCCTTTAACGAGAAGAAAAAATCAAATGCATCTTTAGAAACCTTAAAAAGTTAAATAATATCTCCCAAAAACTTTTGATCAAATTTAACCCCGATTGTTCGATCTTGCAATTATTTATCTGAATAAAAAAGTTGCAATCTATAACAATAAAAGAGCCTGTCTGTGTGTGTGTGTGACCGCCATAGCTCCAAGATAAAAGAACCGATAGACCTGAAATTTTGTACGCATACTAAGAGGATTCTGAGTGTGTTCATCTGGGTATTATTTTTTAGATTTGACTCAAAAAAGTTTGGCCAATTTTTTGCCCTCTAGCCCTTAAGCCACATAATTCTGCTTCCTGAGGTCTATAGGAAACTATCATGTTTTTTCTAATCCTCTCTAACTGAATGAACAAAATAAAGAGGTTTTCTGCCAAATACTCTTTTCAACACAAACATGGGAAGAAAAATACAAATCTGAGAATTAAAAAAGTTGAATTGAACTAAGTTTGAGAAATGGCAACATACAAAGGGAAGAAAATATGAAACGTAGAATATTGGAGAATTCGGAGAATTCAACGAAGAAAACACAAGAAGAAAAAACGAATCTAAGAAGCTAAATTAAAACTATTTGCTTTTATAAAGAGTTGAATTGAGTTAATTTCAGGAAATAGCAACAGACAAATCAACTAAAGAATTGGCGCACTGGGGTAGCTATAGAAGTAATTAAGATAATGAAGACGCTTGACTGGTACATTGAGGCCTCTGTGAATCATATGGGGACCTTAGAATCGCGCAGCGGAAAGTGTGTATTTTATGCTAGTAGGAAATAAAAGTCGTATTATTCTTTTTTATCAAAATAATGTCAGGGCTGCTTGTAAAATGTAACGGGATATATATGTACATATTTTCATATTGAATTATTTGCGTCAATTGACTATAGCAAAGTGTTTCCAATAATTCACACTACCCACGTTACTGACTTTTCAGAATTTAGTGTACTTTAAAGTTTTACTGATTATTGTATATTATTAAACATTTACTCATTAAATACTTTCTAAACAGTACACAAAGTAAAGTCAGGGGAATGATAAAATGTTTCAACAATCATAGATCTAGATTTGTTAGTTGTATGAATAGCACTAACCACACAACAAACTAGTTGCAAATATAAATGCAATTACTATCAGCAAAAAATAGGTAAAACAAAATGTTATTGAAAAACTGATGAAAAGTAGTTTGATGATAAAACATTTTATCTGTGGAGCTCTTGCTTTATATTGTTAGATTATCGTTTCAACTACAAAACTGTAGGCTAAGATAACAAGCCTACCCGGGTTCACCACCAGCCTCCATGTTATTAGCTAATGTAACGTCATTGCTCCACACATCATACTGCCATTTCCTCAGGCCTAAGACACCACAAAGTACTCGTCCAGTATGAATTCCAACGCGCATGTTCAGATGAACATCCGTAGTTTCCACTACGGAGCTATTAAAAGAAAAAGAGAGAGAAATATAACATTGCGTTGCTGACCTGAAACAGGGATATTGGATCAAAACTATATATAAACTTTAATTGAACAAAATTAAATTAATATTTTCACACAATGAGTACAACATTAAGATTATATAAGGTATTGGGTAATTCAGACAAAATAAATCACAACAACAGGAAGAAAATTATTCACATTACATAGAGGTAGGTCATAGTTTGACACTTTGGTTATTGTTATTATAACATAATTTGGTTTGTTAAACATTAGAAACTCAAACCAATATTTTTCTTATGATTTCAAACAGTGTTTTTTCGAAGTTTTCTATACAAAACCCTTTAAACATAAAATTGTTAAACCATATCTTTATTTACTTAAAACTACGAGTAATTTTTAAATGAACTAAATGACAGTGCTCAAATACTGTTCAACATGTCACTGACTTTAAATCTTAGAAATACTTCTATGCCTTGAAAATAATTTTTATAAATTGTATAGTAGTGTAAATCTTTATGCCATTTTCTGTGCTTATCGATTTGTTGGATTGATTGAGTATAACGTAATACAAGTCTATTTGATAGCTGATTGGATTTTTCTTTAACATATTTATTATTTTTAAATACATATTTTTGTTCACGTATTTTGATATGAAATGTTCTCATAGTTAGCTATGTTTGTTTGTTTGGAATTAAGCACAAAGCTACACAATGGGCTATCTGTGCTCTGCCCACCATGAGTATCGAAACCCGGTTTCTAGCGTTGTAAGTCCGCAGACATTCCGCTGTGCCACTGGGGGGGGGGGCAGTTAGCTATGAATAATTGAAAAAATAAATATTTACGTATTAACTTATAATTGGATATTCCCTAGTACTCAGAATGCATATTATTATAAATATGATGTTAGAAAAATACGTAGGTTGAAGAAGTCTTGATGGAAATGAATAAAAACCCTATAACCCAAGCGCTTTCGAAAGGTGGACCTTTCTTCTTCAGGGGCAAATATTTATTTATCATCGCCAAAAGAAAGAAGGCACAGATTCAAAACTTAGTTCATACATCACATACACAGACAGACACATTTTGCTTAAACGAGCATAGATTATATTAGGTAACAACTCAGCTAGACATGTCCCGAAGCATTCTATATTTTGTTGCTAGGCACAAATTTATAGTACATACCAATCTCAGAGATCGATACCGGATTTTTAGCGTTATAAGCTCTCAAGACTATTGCTGAACCACTGGGAAGCATTCCGACACAAGCACTGTGTTTTGTAATTTACTTTTATATTAATACAAATATCACGAGAATTTAAAATTACTTTCAATACTCATAAGCTGTCGTTGTAAGTGGAACTACTGTTCTTCACAGTAACATTCTTCTTTGAAATGTGCATATCGAAAGTCAGTCACTTCTTATTAAAGCAATCATCATTAGAAGAAAATTCACTAAATTCTACTTCATAGAAAAACTGACAGATATATGTGTGTGAACAAATGATATATATATATATATATATATATATATATATATATATAATACGAGAGGTATAACTAACTAATTACTACACTAATTATTAGTTAAGTTAAGTAGAGTACTTACTATTAGTTACTAAATTTTAACTACTAAAGAAAA